CTTGAGTGACTGGTCGAGCTCCGACATCCTAGACTAGTCACATCCCCGCCGGGTACCTTTAACAAGTGCAGGAGGCATACCTGCGAGTCACTACGAAAAGTGACTGGAAAAACAGATATAGGCTTTGCTTCAGCAGGCGCACTGGCCACCCATGTTCTTCCTTCATGGATCGCCACCAGTTCTTCGCCTTGCCGCAGGCAGGATATGTCCATCGCCAGCAGGAAGGCATTCAGATGTACCTCCTTTGTGCATGGCCTGTATTGCTTGAAACTTTCTCTGAGTTGCGGCAAACATGCTAGAGCACTGCTTGTGGTTGCCATTGTTAACGTTTGTTGCACTGTTGTCACAGTTAGCATGAGTTATGTTCATACATTTACTTCATGAACAGTTGTTGAGTTGGAGCTGCTACTGTGCCTTCTGATGTCGTTATAGAATGATGATGTTGTACGGAAATCTCGGTATAACATCTGTATGTAAATTGCTCTTGAAACACCCTACACTTAATCTTGAATCATCCAGGGCTTATGGTGAAGCAGCTGGCTACAATCATAGCTGCTTCGTAGGCTGGCCGCAATGACCCCATCCAGCTGCTGCCGTACGGCAGCGAAAGTGTCTTTCCATGCATCACGTGCATGATGGATTATGGTAATGTGCACACCTCAGTCTGAAGGAAAGGCGGCACCAGCGTATGTGCATATGTCAGTGTTATGTGGCCAGCCATGGGTGGAAGCCAGCCGTGGGGATAAGGACAGCTTGTTAAGACAGCCAGACACACATCACAACCGTGTACACACACGTTGAAGAGGGAGGATGTATGGCACCCCGGTACTGTCAATGGCCCTAAGTTTGTAGAACCGCGGTGCACTCTAGGGTTATGGGGATGTAGGCAGGTCTGTACACAGGAACAGGAGCAGGCGGATGTGATGAATGTCAGTCATTATTCTGTGCATTCCTGCATGCCAAACGACCTGTGGACGCGGCAGCTCGACTTCACATCATGGTGTTTCACAGTAGCAGGGGCAACATGCTGGCATGTTTGGCTGGTTGAAGGTGCCAATCCTCCCTACTGACAGTCCTAATATAGAAATAATAATAGTATGCCG